TATATATATATAATATATATATATATATATATATATATATTATAAAAATTATAATTTAATATGATTTTAAAAGTAAATATTATTTATATATAACATATAATAATACATACATATCAATGAAAATATACACCATAAATAATCCATAAATATCCCTATAATAACATAATATGTTATTTTATAAGTATGTTATAAGTATATACATTATAAGTATGTTAAATACTTATAATATTTAATAATCTATTCATTTCATTTCAATTGAATTTATCCTATTGGTCATATGAAATAAAAACTTATGAAATAGCTTACACGTCATTCGCAAAAATAGTTTCAACTTCAGTTTTAGAACTGGCTTACATGGGTTAAAAAGGGAAATAACTAAGAAGAAGAAGAAGAAGAAGAAATGTCGATACTTCCGTTGTTATTGGTACGTGTTAGGCGTCTTAGCTACGTGAGAATCGAATAAGAAAAAAAAAATATAAATAAAAAAAAAGTCCAGTGGCCGGCCGGCAGCCCCCATGCCGCAAATAGAAGTCAACGTTGCCGAAGAAACGAGTCGTCTACTAAACCACGTGCCATGCAGCCAGTAACAGCAGCAGCACCACCAACAGCAACAGCAGATATATAATATGTATGTGTATATGTGTGTTGGTGTATGCACGCGTATCGGCACTCGGTTCAAACCAAATGACGACAAGAAACTGCATAGGGTAACGAAGCCATATGGGTAGCATTACGATCGAGAGAACTAAACGGACGGTTGCCATATGCTTCACAGAGATCTTTCTTCGACCATATCCAAAACTAGACGGTGGTAGTGGTGGTGGTGGTGGTGTATGTATCAATACACCATCCTAATATATTATCCGATAGAATTTATTATTTATATTGTTAATAATGAAATATATGTTCAATGAGAAATCAATTTATCATGGTGAAGATGAAAGTAGAAGTAAAAGTTGGTATATTTGTTTTAAATTTATATTCCTAAAATAAATTTTATAAAAAAAGTGCAATTGTGCAGTTTAGAATGCAATTTATAACACACAATAAATGCAAGAACTTTTGATTCATCCTAATATTTTATATTTTTTTCTTAAACTATTTTAAGATTAACACTCACAGATTCATTTAGAATATTTTTCTAATGGTTTTATTATTTATTTATTTATTTTATTTATTTATTTAGTTAATAGTTTTTATTTATAGATAAGTATTATCTGATAAATAAGTAAATCCTATTAATAGGATCCTATATAATCCTATATATAATAAAAAAAGTTATCAGTAAATCCCTGAAATATTTGCTAAATATTTTATTTTATAAAACATTTCCTATAATACTGTTTGAATTTTACTAATTTAATCAAAACAATATTAGCTTCTATAAAAATGTCCATTTTTGTTAAAGAGGGGAAAAAAAACAAAAATATCAAATGATATTTTGTTAAAATAAACTATCAAACACTTAGCATTTAAACAAAATTTACTAAACTTACTTTAAGTTACACGTGTGCCAACCTTTGAGCGTGTTGTTTAGTATGATGCACCAGTCTGCCCTGTTCCTGTTCCCACCAACTGAAAACGTCCATAAATTCGCGAGTTTCAGCTACTTCTTGTTTGCAATAAAGGGCTTCTGAAAAGGTTTCAGGACTAGCCGCGTAAACGGACGTAGCACCTTCTTCACTGTCACCAGCACCGCTATAAGGGGACAGTATTCTAGGTTCCATGTTTTCTTCGTTTTGTCCATAATATTCTGATGGCGGTGATGCCACGGAATTAGGGGATAATCGGGACACATTTTGTCCAACGTTATTTGACGATAAACCACGTGGTTCTACATTTTCATCGTCTTTTTCTTCTTTCATTGAAGATACACGATAATCGTGAGGGGATGATATGCCTGTTCGATTAGGTGATATTCTGTAATTATAAAAAATAATTTATTATTAGAATTTTATTTATTATTATTCAATTAAATTTACCATAAAATAAATATCAAATTAAATAAAATATAATTTTCAATTATAATATAATAATAATAATAATATAGCATAATATTTAACATATAATTAATATAATAATATATTATATAATACATAATAAAATTTATAATATATTTATATATAATTTATAATATATATTATAAATTTTTTAATATATAAATGTAATATATTAATATTATTATAATATTATATATAATAAATATATAATATATTATATTATTATACAATATTATAATATTATTATTATTATAATATTATTTAATTAAATATAATAATAATATTTAATATATATTTAAATTTTAATATATATAACATATTAAAATTTGTAATATATATTAAATATTATATATTAATATAATATTTAATTAATATAATAATAATATAATATAATTTAATAATTATAATATAATTTTAATTTTTTTTGTTTGTCCAGTTTTTTATTCTAATTGTAATTTGATTCTTCTATAAAGATAATATTATAATATTCATAAATAGTTAACAAAAAACAAAAAATATAAATAATTAACAAAAAAAAAAATATAAACTTACTTAAGTAAATTCATTTGATTTTGACAATTTTCCTCATCATCGTCAAGTTCGTATTCATCGACATCTCCACTGATAAGTACGTCGTCCTCTAATGTTAATTTTTCACCAGAATAATTATGATGGGACGATACAATGCTGCTACATGGTGAAGGAACATATTGTGATCCCGAAGCAGAGTTTGAATCGTATTCAATAGAATCCGCTTCAGAGAGTAATCTTTGAAGACTTCTGATGTATTCGATAGCCATTCTAAGTGTCTCAACTTTTGACAATTTTTTACTCTTATCACCGTATGACGCAGTTATATGATTCGGTATGTGTTGTCTTAGGAGTGCAAAACCATTGTTAACTTGTTTAACTCGATTTCTTTCTCTAGCATTTCTCCTAGCTACGGCAACCGGTGGTGGTTGACCATACTTCCCATGTTTTGTCAACCTTGTTGAATCGTAAGAAGGTAAAACGTTAACCGCTGGCATACCACCACTTGTACTATTGTTATAGATATTATTATTATTATAAGTATTGTTATAATTATTATTACTACTATTATTATTAATTTTTGGAGCTATTAAATGAGGCTGATTTCCTAATATATTGCTCTCGTTATCTTGCAGGGTTCTAAGAAGCATCAATTGTTCTGGATCATTTGCATTTATTGGAACCCTGTTATCGTATACAGTTACACCCATGTTCATCATTTCGATGTATGAATTTTTGGGTTAGTTCCTTTCCCCCTCCCTCTCTCTCTCTCTCTCTCTCTTTGTTCTTCTCTTTCTTTCTTTAATGATTTTCTAATTTCCTGTTTCAGAATTTCATTCGTGTCTCATACCTTTTTCTTGTTTCTTCCCCTATCCCTTATTCTACGACGTTGATCATCGGGTTCTTGTAGAAACGAACGTTAGGTTAATTTGATCGACGAACCGTGACGTCGTGTCTCGTGGGAAAAAAAAGCTTTCTTATATTTTCGAATCAGGTAGTTAGAGAGAGAAACCTTTTTTTTTTTTATCGATCATGTGTACGAGGGTGAAAAATATTGGACGTTTTTCGCGTGGAACAACGGACCGAGTTGACCGGTCCGCTCATCGACTCTAATGTCTTTCAAGGACGGGACTAATTGAACGGGGACTTATAAATAAAACACGCACTATACCGTCGGAAACAAAGATGATGAATCTTCTTTTTCTTTTTCTTCGATTTAAAAGTATCTGAGTTTAATGTTGAAACGAAATATTTGACTCAACAGTAACAGCAGCAACAGCAACAACACAACAACAATAACAAAAACACCAACAACAGCAACAACAACAATTCTTTTTGACCACACTCATTCTTATTTTATTTTATATTCCTTTTATTTATGGGTATTTGTAAAGGATTTTTCTACACCGAAAAAACTTGACTTTTCTTCTTCTAGTAGTTGTCCTTGATCTTACACAATAGGATTGTATACGAGTCATCGATGAAGATCAGCAAGAGAAGAAAGAAAGAATTCCCAGAAGGATCTTGACCGAACCGATTCAAAGATCCCAATTGTCCTGGCTGTCCTATAGGAGCATCCTATATCCTATAGTAATCATGAATGAGAAGTCACACCTACGATGATTTATTTATTTTTCATCTGTCGTCGAGATTTCTCATAGTCAAAAGTTTAACCACAGAACTAGTAAACACACTGCTGGTTGTCTCTTCCTTTCTTTATTCTTTTTTTCACACCTATATGAAAGGAATAAAAAATAAAAAATCCTCAACAAAATAAGGAAGATTATTTTCCATCTTACACTTTACTTTCTTAGTTCCCCCACTACCCCCCACCCCTGTTTTTTCACCGAACGAGTAAACACACTGTTTGTTGTCTCTTCCTTCTTTTTTATTATTCTTTTTTGACACCTAATGAATAATTTAAAAAAAAAATAAGGAAAACTATTTTCGATATCACACTTTACTTTTTCAATATCCCCCCCTTTTTTTTCACCGAACTCGATGTGATTTCTTTCTCAGTGATTGTATTATCTTCAAAACAAAGATTACAGCACAATACGATCGAGACGAAAAAAATTTCGCGACCTATATCAACACTTGATGTCTTGATCAGTAAATGATATTAACGAGAAAAAGAAAAAGAAAAAATGAAGATAAAAACAATCGGAAATATTGTTCGTTACCTATTTTCGCGTGTTCCCTTCGGATACGATCTAAGCGTTACGCAACGCATGGCGTCCGCATTGAGAATGAGCGCGGACATCCGATAGATGGGTTAGGTTTCAGCATTTTGCCGCACCGCCTGAGTAAGAGAACAAGAGAGAGAGAATAACAGAGAGAGAGAGAGAGAGAGAGAGAGAGAGAGAGAGAGAATGATAGAATGAACAAGATAAAGTGAGATATATAAAGAGAAAGAGAGAGAGAGAGAGAGAGAGAGAGAGTAAAAGGGAGAAAGAGCTGGGGCAAATACGTCGACGTCGTCGTCGTAGACACGGTGAAACCACCAGTGGAAGGGGAGTTGCTTGTGTGCAGGGAAGTAAGAAAAGAGAGAGAGAGAGAGAACTCGTACGGGTCTGACGCATAAGTGTATGTCTATATATATGTGTGGTTAAGTAAGATAAAGCGAGAGAAGAGAATAAGGCGTCACGTAAGAGTAAAAGAGAGAACAAGAGTGAGTGAGTGGTGAGAGGATTTTGAGCACGCGCCGTCAGCCCCCTTCTACGTTTCCTTCTTCCCCCGAGAGGAACTGGGAAAAAAAGGGGGACCACGTATACGCGCCATATGCCAAGGGGAGTAAACAGGCGTGCGCCAGTTGTGTGCCCCTTCTTGTGTAAGCGCACGAGCGAATACACAGGCGCGCGCGCTAGCACTCGCGCACGCGCACAACCAACATCCAAGTTTTTAAGCCACCAAAAATCGAAATTTTTACAGGAGTATTGGTAGGAAACATGTTTAGAGTCCAATGGGTAGGATGTGATGAACTTTATCGTTGGTAGAGTGTATTCTGAGTACTTGAGAAAATAAGTACTAGATTGGTACCCTTGTTTTTAAATTGTACTTATGAATATAAAGGTGAGAAGAGAGATAAAGATTATGATAAAAATGGGGGGTGGAAGATGGAAAGGTTTTTAGTTGGAAAATGTATTTTATTTTCGGTTTATTTTATAATAGTTTGGTTTTATTTTAGTTAGGATAAGTTTTTGGTCTGTTTTTAGTGGTAACTTATTGAATTACTTTATTTTTTAATATAGGATTATATAATTTTTATTATTATAATTAATTTGAAAGTGTATACCCCTTTTTGTTTTTGTTAGAAAATGTATTTCATTTGGTTTAGTATGTTAGGGTAATTTTTGGTTTTGTTTTTAGTGATAACTAGTTGAATTAATTATTTTTTAATATAGGATTCTATATTCTTTATTATTATAATTATTTAAAAATGTATACCCCTTTATTTTTTGTAAATTGTACTTCTAAATATATAGGTGAAAAAAGAGATAAATATTTTAATAAAAATAGGGGGTGAGTGATAGGAATATTCTAGTTGGAAAATGTATTTTTGTTGGTTTAGTTAATTAGGGTAATTTTTTATTTTGTTTTTAGTGGTAGCTAGTTGAATTAATTTATTTTTTAATATATAATTATATATTGTTTATTATTACAATTAATTAAAAGTGTTATTAATTTATATAATTGTATAATCAATTTTTGTATGAAATTATTTAGATATTTATGAATTACTTTAAAAAACAATTAAATATTTAATTTTTTATTTTGTCTGTATCTCAATTATTTTGTATTACTTCATTTTCTATTAAACGTTACATCATAGTTAAAGTTTATAGTATACTATCTTAGTCACGTTAGATAAATTGTAAGAATACTATGAATAGACATTGCTCGTTAATCGTTCAATCGATCATTCTAGGAATTTAATCGTAAATCCAAGAGCAAAGATTAAAAGGTTCTTTTTCTTTGCCATTTTCATTAACTCTTAATCCGTTGTTATTGATCGTTTGAACAATATACAGTTAGAGATACGTAAACGAACGAATATATTGACCATGAAGAGATAAAACATGACTTTAGTCCAAATATATTTTCATTCTTATTTAATTATAAGTTAAATATTGGACGAAAATATTGGATCAATTTATAACAACCATAACTCGTTTTATTTTCACTCGATTCTAAAATATATTACCATTCGTTACCAATCCTTATTACTACTTTCTCGCGTCTACTTTCACTTGTGACGATTTTTTCTTTATCATATTCCATAACCATCGGCTATGTTTAAAAAAAAGAAAGAAACTACATATATATATATATTTTTTATACTAACTCTAATAAAGATATTTCTTCTTCCATTTTTATATAACACACGAACTCAGCAAAAAGGACAGGAAGAACGAATGAATTTCGGATTTGTGAGACACGGAAGTTTCGTGTTTCCAGGCGGTACATTTCTACGCACCAATGGGGGGAGCTTTTCTACAATTAAATAAGATATATCTCACGATTCTCTTTCTCTTTCCATTTCCTTTCTCTTTTCTGTCCTTTTCATTCTTTCATAGATCTTTTTTTCCTTTTGTTGTTCTCTCCTTTTTTTATTTTTTCTTCCTTGTAAAAATTTTTCATTTTATTGTCATTGTCATACGAAATAGAGATTGAATTTTGTAAAAAAAAAAAAAATAAAAATAAAATTGCACATAAAATTAAACTTTATCGAATGCCCGTAATCTTTGGGTATATCTAACAGCTTAAAAAAATAAGAAAAAGAAAAACAAAAAACAAATAATAGAAAGAAAAAGAAAAAAAAAAAAAAAATAATAATAATAAAATCACAGACGGGAATTTTCCCAACTGCTAAAGCTAGGTCGTTTATAAATCACGATTTAAAAAACAACTCTCTTTCTCTCTCTCTCTTTCCATTAACATTTCCCTAGGTAAAGGAGGGTTATCCTTCTGTTCGCAAAACCGTAAGGGCTCAGGATTCGACCTGACCTAGATCTAGTTTACCTTTTATTTATCTCTCTTACTCTCTTTGAATCTATGTATACCTAAAATCTAAAGAGAGAAGAGAGAAGCAGTCGTAAGCCGACCGTGCGACCAAAAGTGGGGGGCTTGATCAAATTTATAATACAAAATACRTATATATATATGGTAAGGCCTCACGAGAACCCTCCTGCGGATCTTTAATCTCGTGGCAGTTCGTGGCAGGATCGTACGTAAAAATTTTATATTGAAAAAAGGGGGACTGCTCTTGTTCTGTGAAAATAAATCTACGATAAACAATTTTTTTTTTAAATTAATTTTATTTTAACCTAACGTCTAACGTTGGAAATAACCCCTCTTTCCTTTCTTTGACATTTTTTTGGTGTTTTTTTTTTACTTAATTTTTTATGGTTAAACAATTTCTTTGTGTCGTGTTTAAATCTATATTTATTTTATAACAAAAAAAAATACACAAATAAGTATTCGCAAAATAATTTTACGTTTTATATGTTTGTATAATATTAATTCTAAACTTTTATTTTAATTTTAACCAATTTTTTTGTCATAAAATAATTATGACGAATATTAAGTAACAAATTTGAATAATTCTACGTTATATATATTTGTATAATATTAATTCTAAATTTTTATTTTTATTTGAACCAATTTTTTGTCATAAGAACATAATGGAAAATATAAAATAACGAATTCAAATTTGATCAATCATTTAATCTATTCATCGATTTTAATTTTAATGTACTAATCTTGAAAATAATATTTGATATAATATTCGTAAACAAATTCGTAGTTTAAAACAGAGTAGATAAACAAGAAATGATTGAAATTTAGACGGCCCTGATTGAAGAAGAGAAGGCAATGAAAGAGAGAGAGAGAGAGAGAGAGAGAGAGCGCGAAAGAATATTCGAGAGCAGAATCTCTGAGTCCCACGATAAAGATAGTTCCATGTATTCGGGGGGAGGGAAAGGGGGAGAGTAGGGGGATTAAGTTCACCGTCGATCTTTGAAATCCCTGGCAAATCGTTAAAAACCTTGAAACGACGACCCTCCCTTCCTCCCTTCTTGCAGTAAAAAGAAACTCCGTTCGAATGAGAAACGTAAAAAGCCCACACCACTGATTTTTTCTTTTCTTTTTTTGTTTGTTCGGGAGACTCTCTCTCGCTCTCTCTCTCTCTCTCTCTCTCTCTCTCTCTCTGCTCGACCGAGTCGAATAATGCGGATGAGCTATCAAAACCGCGAAACCGGTCAAATATAATAATCGAATCGATACTTTTCTGCCACTGTTGGATAACAACGAGATTCTGTAATATATATATATA